TTTTTACTATTGTAAAGGAAACACAAAGAAACATCTTTAGAAATGTCATGGAATCACATGTGTTTTCTACTAAAATAAATTACTTTGGACATCCTTCTGTCCAGTCTCTGCTCTGTGATTTCTGCCAGAACTGCAGATCCCACTGACAAAATACCACCCACTGATCTGGAAATCAATTAGAGCAAACGACAAGGCATAAAAACAAAAGCCTAGGGAGGTGAAAGAAGGTTCTTATTCTTCTCGGATGTTTATGAGATTAACATCAAAGAGGAACCCAAAAAAACAATAATTCTCCTGAGTGCCAAAAAAGGCCACTGAATCATTTTTGAGAACCTTCGTGGGATAATTATTGCTTCATAAGCTGGACTAATGTACACACCCAACTGCTGAGTTACTTGAGGACTGAGAGCGCTCTGTGTCGATGCTAGATCCAAACAAGATCCATATGTCTAGCCTGATAACATGAGAATATTGTTCTACTTTACAAAAATGGGACAGCCCACATCCCTCTCCACCCCAACACATGGTTACTCAAGATTTATCCATGCTCAGCTAGTGCTCTGTCCAGAGATACACAGCCAACGGGTCCACAAGTTCAACTTGTCCAGCTTACAATTTTTAAAGGTAAATTAGTACACACTCCCTGGCTTTAAATAAGTCTGTTTAAATCAGTGTAGATAAATCTCAGGTCAGGAAAACGCATCGTGCAAGACAGCATAAGCAATAAAAAACAATTGTCTGCAGTCTGACGCATTAGGATCTGTACAGCCTAACGGTGCAAGGATAAATCAGGGCTCAGTTCGGATGTTCAATTTCAATTTCAATCTTATGGAAAGTACCACTGCGGCCTTCTGTGTGTGAAATACCTTTAACCTGCCCCCCTCCTGGGTATTAATAAGAGCTAACATTACATGCAACACAAAACCACTTCAGATGCACTAGACTCTACCAGCCCTGCGCTCTCGTACATGCCACTGTCCCGTCTTTTATTTCCAAGGGTCTTGACGCCTCCCACACTGGGCTTTCCTTTCTCTCCAAAGGGAAAAGGATGCTGCCAGACCCTTCACCATCAATCAGAGGCTCATTCCCCCTGCACTCCAGCTCTTGGACTGATGTAAGCTGAACACTTTTAAAATGTTCCCCTGTATTTGCCGAACTACTCTGACAAGCCCAGCACAATACAGTGTCACAGGGTTTCCTTACGGGTTTGGAGAGCGGTAATCTCCACAGAAGTGACAGCTGTAGAGCCGAATAACAACACATACTGGGGAAAGCAATGGTGAGCACAGAACGGCCCCTTTACAGAAGCGTACAAATTGGTGTTTAGCTGACGTCATGACCATCGCTCACCAAGTGGCAGAATCAACTAGACACCGCTGAAACAGAGCCAGGCAGCGACACTGACTCTGAGATGACTAGCACGGAAACCTTTGCACTCATTTTTTCTTACTATGCTTGCATTTGTGGTCGTTTCACGCAGGGTGCGCTCAGCCGGAGGGACACATTTGCCTTTGTTAATGTCTCGAGGGGACGTCCCGCTGATAAATGACCCTGAAAGGTGGCCTGGACAGGAACCAGCAAGGCTCTTTGGGCTGTTTATTAAAACACAGGCTGGAAAGGGACTGTCCGGACAATATCTGGTAAAGAGTTTTACACTGAGTCATGTTACAGAAGTGTAATAATATAACTCTATTCATATTTCTACTGATAATAATTTCTCTGGCTACATACTGTACATTGGATGTTCGAAACTTGTCCTTAGGACTCAGCAGAGTTCTTGAAGTTGTTGGGTTTCGGCACTTGAAAAGCATGCTTTTTTCCTCTACGGGGATCACACTTCTTAATGGCTTGCAGTGACATAGAGCCCCAATATATCAGGCTGCCCTGACTCCTGTGCCTATAGTGGTGAGAACAGGGGTTTGATTTGTGACGGGCTTACTGTTTGCACTCAAGTCCAGTGTGCAGAGGGGGAGGGGCATGGACCAGCTGGATGGCTGTTAATGGGAGTCCACCCGGGGTGCAGGGCTGGAGGCTGTTTGCATCTATTCCAGTCTGTCCTTGGCGCCCTAGCTGCCCGTCTGGGGTTTCACACCTACGTTTATTGTCTTTACCCCTTTGATTAATCAGCAAAAACTGGTTTGCATGCTGTGCATCACATGTGCTATAATTAAAACCAGTGTCCACTTTACTTTTCCCTTACTCACTGCCCTTTCCCGGTACATTTTATGTACTGGTATTAAGTCTATTAAGTCATAATTAATTTCCAGTTCCCAATGATTACATATGGGATCAAGAAGTGTAGGGGAAAAAAACATTTCATAAGAGCATAAGGAAGGTTAAATACAAGAGGAGGTCATTCAGTTCCTTATCTAGTTCATTTGGTAGCTGGGACTGATTGATCCAGCTGCTCTGGAAGAGGTCTCAGCTATAGATCTCAACCAGCTGTTTCCTGAAGGAAGCCAGGGCTGGGTGGCATGTTCCACACTCCCACCGCCCTTTGTAGTAAAGAAGTGCCCCCTGTTCATGGTTTTAAATGCACTTTTCCACTTGTGTCCTTGGGGGTCGCCTTTCACTGTGCATTCTTAGGAAGTCTGCTGGGTTGACGCTGAGGATACCTTTTGAATACCTATTAAATATCAGGTCCCCATGTTCAGGATTAAAAACGTTTTGTTGCTTCAGCCTGTTAATGTAGAGCTGGCCAATATGATGTTTTTTCTTCTTTCTGCTGTTCAGTGTGGAATTAAGCTCTACCTGTTCCTTTGCATTTCCACACTTGAACCTCTATAAATACATAGTTATGCATATACTGTACATGAGGATAGTGGACACGGAGCACAGAGGTATGTCTGTGACACAACACCAAGCACAAAACATCACGCAAGCAGATAATTCTACGGTGTCAGGAAGACGTACACTATTGAACTACGACGGTGGGGAGGTAGAAAGTGCTCTTTCAGAAGAGAGAGCTCTGGAAACCGATACAAGGTCAACAATAATCTGCATGCAGAAACAGCTGTTTTGCTAATCACTCATAACAACGTGCAAAGAAAGAAATGCGGTCTCTACGGCCAAGTAAGGAGACCTTAAAAGTTTCACAGTGTAGGCGTCCATTGGCTTTCTTGCTAATGCTGGAAATAATGATCCCCTCACATCTCCCAGTGTTTCTGGAAAGAACAAGTAACAGTTCACTGCTGGTAAAGATCATTACAGTTCAGCGTTTTTATTACACATCAGATTTGGCTCATGAGCACTCCAGACAGTCAGGCAAATTTACAATGAGGGATCATTAATCTGGATTAAGAGTAACAAAGGATGAAAAGTGCTCACCTAAATCTGATTATACAGATGCACGATAAAATTAACATGCTTCTTTTGGTTTCTGTAAATCAAGGCAGCGATTTTCACTTTAACAATCTAGTTATTGTACATCTAAACTAATTACAGTGCAACAAAAACAAAAGAAGCATAATTATTTTGGGGGCATTTTTAGTTTAGTTTTGGCATTTTAGGCTGTCGTACTCTATGCAGAACCAAATCTTCAGTACCAATCTGTCAGTTTTATTAATTTTCCTCTACAGCCCACACAAAGCATTACCAGTGATGACATTCAAATATAAGCAACTACTGTGGCCAAGGGTCTGAACTGCTGGTCTTATAGGTGTACTGCACTAAGAAACCGATAAACTGATTACGCCTAGGTGAGGTGATTTTTGTCCAAGTGAATAATGACATGAAGTAATTAATTTAGGATTTAAATTTCCCCTTCTTCTTATATGCCAACAGCGCCATTCCTCTGCAAGTCTCCTGAAAAATAAGCAACCTTTCTTTGTGTTAGAATGAGAAAAATAAACTGTTCTATGAATGCCGTATAGTCAAGAACATGTATCTACAGAGATCTGGAACGCAAATTTCAGAAACCATTTCACCAAAGCCCCAACTGACATTAATCCTGCTTAAATCAGTAGATTCCACTGAGCTTCAAAGTTTTCTTTGCATATGAAACGCTCACTTTTTTGCTCTTTTGCTCTCTGGTACAATGCGAAGTGGACTCTGTGATTAGGCCCGGGCCTATCTTCTGCACTAGTGGAGTGAGCAGTTTGGGGTGAGGAGAGGGGGTGGTGCTGGCTCTCGGTCAGAGCTGAAAAAGCCTGTGTGACACACAGTCCCTTGCAAGGTGATGAATGTCGCACTGCCACAGCTCCTCAGCCTGAGCTCTTCCGCAGACAAAGCTGGTGTATTTTAGGAGCTCCAGTCTAGCTTAACAAGCTAGGAGAGGGTGCTGGGAGCTTCTGATGTTCACCTCACTATTGAATAGCAAGGGCAGCAGCAAGAGTCTATATCCCTGTGCATTTATGTGATGTCAGGGTAGTTAAGTAATAAGCTGAATATGTTTCAATTGCCCCTGTCTCTCAAACTTGCCCATGTAAATGTACAGCCCGTGAGGGTACAGTTACTAAGACAGTGAGGAATTCCATTGAAGTTGCTGACCTGAGTGGTCTCCTAGGATTTCAAGCAACAGAAGGTCAACATCAAAGTTACCATTTATCTCTGCTTAATTCCCCTGCACAAACTCATATGATGATTTCACAGGATTCTACTTCCAGTAACCATTTGCTTTCTAATGCTAATTCATTTCCCCAGATGATAGTTAATCACTCATCTCCAATAAACTGTTAATTTACTTCACTGATGCTTTTAATCCAAAGCAATTTACATTTACTTTTGGGTATTTTACTGGAGTAACGTGAGTGGGGTACTTTGACCAAGGGTATGACAGCAGTGTGTCACCCGGGATTTGAACCCACAACCTACTAGTCCAGAACTCTAACCACCTCCTCACACTGCAAAGGAAAAAGATATGTAATATCCCTGTTCATCTTGTCAGTGGTGTGTGAAATGGCCCAAAAGCAGATTCAAATACTTCATTCGTGCATCTCCCAGACTATTGCAGCACATCCGGTATAACTGCTGGCTGAAAAGATGACCACTGTGTCTCTTACCTGTTCTCAATGACTGTGACATGGGCGGGTGGGATTCCGAACACTTCACAGCTCTTAAGAAGCTCCTTCTTTCGTACTTCCCCTTGGCTATAGTAATTTCCTAAATACAGAAATGTTTTGAATATTCAGAAATGTATTTTTGAAAACACCTGTGAGACATTGTAGGAGAACAATTCAGTACTATACAAGAGTTAACTTACAATGTAAACAATTGCATTGTGTTTCTCTTTATATGGTTCACAATCTCACAGAAAGCATGTAGAATATTTTGATATTCCCTGATAAAATAGTTTCTTTCTGCTGGAGACTTTGGAATATATAGTACACAGTTGCTGGAACAGTCATCAGAGAGGTGCTTCAAACCACAGCTTTGCATGTCTGTTAATTGCAAGGAATAATGACTAAGTTGTCCATCACAAGCACAACTGAAAAAAGGAACACTCACAATGAGTTTTAGCCTTTTTTGGGATCTAATTTATGTTTTAAAATGTCAGTTTGAATATATAAAAACAGCAACAGCACATGTGTATGTGCACTGAAGATGGCCTCTTTACTCTTTTCCTCTAGCAAGTCAGTGTTAAGGTTAAAGTACTGCCTGACCTTTTCTCTAACAACAACAATTCTGAGCTATGACTGAAACAGTATTGAGTGAACAGTCATTATTATGTTTCTCTAAATACAGCATTTATATTATATGATTATAAATCATATCAGATTTAATTAAAAAAGTAAAAACACCACTACAAAATAAAATGATGATGACAGGGATTCTTTGAGAATATGCTGTAATTCTCTCTTCCATCTGTAGACAAAGTTTTTCAGACACTACTGCCATACTAAGACACTATTTTGGAAAACACCCAGTAGAAATAAAAAAAAAACTTTACTTGTTAAAAAAGTAGCTTGTATTAGAGACCATATTGGGAAACAAGTTTTAAATGTTGTTCTAAATAGTTCTACCTTTGCCCTAGTGAATGCAAAATGTAAGAAGTAGATCAGAATCACAGTTTGAATCCTGTTTTTATTCATTGCACTCTGATAAAAATATCAAATGTTAACAGGTTATGTTTTAATGTTTATTTTATATCAGTATAAATATCAGGAGAAAGGTTCAGACGAGTTTGCAAACAACATTTTGTTTATGTCTAGCACACACTATGAATCAGAATGTATTACATTCCTTAATTAATAAGGTGCATCATTGAATTACCAAGTAATTTTATAGGTTTTGTCTGATAGAGGCTGTAGGTAATTACGTAGATAATATTTATTTGTAATTAATAATATTTGTACAGCCTGCAATTCTGTGTTGATATATTTTTGTTGACGCTCATTTAATATTTACGTTAATATTAGTATTATATTATTTACACATATATAATGAATCGAAATATTTTAGAATTTGTTTTTTTTATCTATTCTAATGACCACTAAAATGTAAGATTTGTAAAAGGCGATGGAGATATTCTGATCACCACCTGATCTGAACTCAGTTGAAAATGAGGTTAAAAACCCTCGAGATCACGGAGGGCATACCCTACCTGATGACAAACATAGCAAATGGACTGAAGCGTTTATCTCCAAAAGCCTTATTACAGCCGGTGAAAAGAACATGCACTCATCATCCGGATGTGCAGTTACAAAGAGGGCTCTGAGCCCGTTGAATGTTTGCGATTCATCTGAGAACTGCCACTCCGTCCCGTCATTAGTATACTTGTTTCGAGAAACGCTGAATCCCCTGTCTGATCGCGAAACACTCTTAATCAATGACACTAAATGTGCGCTTCCGCTTTTTGCTACAGTCTGTCGGTGTTGGTGGTATATTCGTGTTATCCAAACGTAAAGGACAATGAAAAGCAAAACTACAGCGAGCAATAACGACACCATGCTTAACCGCAACAGTAAACACTCCGTGGGGCTACCTTGTCCCTTTATCTGCGTTCCTCTAGAGTTTTCATTCCCACAAAATACATTGTTTTAAAATAAATTACATTCCATTAAAACCGAACCTGATCTATTTTATCCTAAAGCTATTGTATCTACAGAATTGCCCCCCATCAAAATTAGTTGAGCACGAACAAGTTATAGTTATACGATTTAGTACACGATAGAATAGTTATAAATATCACCTCTGACTTCCACCCTTGTAAATGTACATATTATTTAACCCATTAGTATTTATATTTAACTACCACTCCAGTGCTACGTTTAAGTTTATGTATTGAGTTTTTTTTTTGGAAGGGACGTATTTCTAATTTGACTGACCACCGTTAACATAGCAGGGGTGGGGGCTGGGGATATAGGTTCCCTCGAAAAACTGAGGGGAAAAAAAGGGGGCTCTTTTGAAGCGGGGAAGTCTTTGTGGTTGCACCATTTTGTCCTTCCAGTGGTGTAAAACAAAATAGAGCATATTATTACTCACCGTTCGATACATATGTGTTGGGGGGTGCGTCTGTTTAACAGCTATTTAGATTAAACGCGACGGTGGAGTGAGAGTGAGAGGATACCATGACTGACCTATACGTGTTGCAAGTGATAATTGCTGCTCTCACTGCCCTGCCAGGACCTCGGCAGCGCTAGGAGCTCGGTAGTGCGCCGCAACTCCGGAGGACTGTGCGCAGGTTACGGATAGAGCCAGATACATACGGATATACACGCCTTTCATCCCGCACACACAAGGAAGGGATACCTGTTTCATTCGGGAGAAAGGTCTTTTGTCCGAAAATGAGGTGAGATTTTTGGCCCCCCCCCCTCTCCTGCAGACAAAAAGCGCGTTGTGATAAACACGGACAAGTGCTAACGTCGCTGCCTCTCGCCGCTGGTGGGGTTGAGCTCTCTCACCAGTCGTCTATCCTAATGCAAGATGGCGGCTGGGTTGTGCATCCAATAGGTTAAATATTGCTTGGACTTTGGCTGATAATGGGTTGTATTGTTTGGAACTTGGGAAGCAGTTATTTCTCATGGTTGGAAGCCGCATTTACATATATATATTTTTGCCTCCGACGTTGTTTTCCGCGCCGAGTGGGGGCCGTTTTTAACCGGCGGGCCGCGCACTAACGGGCGCTGCAGGACATCACGTTATAGGGCTGACTTTAAAACTAGAAACAAGGTTTTTTTTTTTTGGAGGGATGAAGTCACGTCTTGTACGGTGATTTCTTCGTGTGTCGTACCAGTTAAAAACTGATCTGACTGCACAGTGATGAGCAGGGCATGCTTCTGTTCAGCGTTATAAGTATTTGGAGGCAACCGTGTGCAACCTCTGGCTCCAAATGTAGTCTATTTCTTTCGTCAGTAGTGAAAAACACGAACCTGTTTTCTTCTGTTGCTTTCCACGTGTTAGCCTTTGACATTGCTGGTAATATAAAACTTTGCCAAATCCGTGATTTGTTTTAATGGGCCGATCTGAATAACTTAGCGGAGATGCTGACCACAATTCCTGCTTTTCAAAGATGGTGTGCTTGAAGTTTCTGGTGCTTTTTTCTGGCTAACGGACCCTCGCTGTTAGAAATGATTTCCCACATGCTGTACATCTAAAATTCTTCATTTCCGTGGAAAACCATTCCATTGGATATGTACGCATGAAAGACCATCACTCTGGAAACCGGTGATGTTTAGTCGCTGGGAGTCGGAAAGTTGTTTCAGTAGAAACTATAAGAAATACTTTACCGTGACTCTTGAAAATGACATGGTGCGTTCCTCTTGGAAAGAAATGGGAGTTTTCTTTTATTTAAGAGTGGGTGCTGTGTCGCTGGTCAGCTGCTGGTAGATGAGATTATGGTTTTAAAGGCTCTAGATGATAAATTTAATATATGTCTAAAGCAAAGATTATAATAATTATAGATACTGCGTATGTGTAGACCTTGTTTTGTTAACTTGCTGTGCTACTAGACCTGTCTTGTTGAGATTTAGTTTTAACCCAAATCATATTTTTAATTATAACTGATTTAGAATGTTTATGTTCGAGACCTGCAGGCGTTTTCAATGGGTAAATTTATCAGATACCGTAGCACGATTTTTATATATAGGACAATCTTATATCAAGTGAGAAGAGTTACAGTAGTCTGTTGAGGAGTTTGTTTAGTAAGACCCACATAAGACTATTGACTGGTCTCGTTGGCATTTCAATATCATTGTCAAATTGTTTTCCATTCCATTTTGTCCTGGTTGTCTCTGCATGGTCCAATATTGAATTGTTACAGGGCTGCAAATAAAATAAGGCTTTATATCCCTCTGGTTTGGAGGAAGTGTCTGGGAGTACTGTTACAGAGTTAGGTGTTTTTTTCAATCTTTGATTAAGAAACTTTTCTCACACAGCACGTTATTTTAGAACTTGCTCAGGAAGAAACAATTTAAGATGTGGACTTTGGAGGCTGGTTTATTCGACAGAAAGCTTTCGTGTATTTAAATTCAGGCTGCTGCCCTCTTCAGATTGCCCTTCATTCGTTCTTGCCTTTGTACAGGTTCGTAGGTTATAGGCCATGAGGTGCCTGAAAACCCATCATTTCATATTATTATAATGAATTATACAGCTATTCTCCTTTTATCGGAAGAAAATAAATAAATTTAGACCCGTCTGGTGAAATGGCTTTTCTAAGCAGGTCTTCTGGCCTCCTGTGGGGATTTGTGATGAAGCTGATAACTTATTTGCGGGAGTTAACTGCAGCCTGATATTTTCCACACAATAATTTCCTTCTTTTTCTAATTCCCGCTTCTTACTATACGTTTTGACTCCTGTTTCTCATTGCATGGCGGATGGTAGCCAAAGCTCTCACTGTCCTGGGTGAAAGTGTGACACAGACTCGCTTAAAGGCCTCCATTCTGAAACACGATGCCCGTCACACAGTTACAGAGAACGGAGACAGGAGCCTCTTGTAAACCTGTTACCTGACCCGTGCCTTTCTGCACTGCACCTTGTCTTCTCATGCTGTCAAGCACATGTAGGAAGAGGTGTCGGGCTGCAGAACCCCCCTCCTGTTCCACAGTGCATGATGCTGCTGTGAGAGTGTGTGAAGTAAGAAGCAGACAGGTTTGGTGGATCTGACCGTTCAGAAATCACCGTGCAGCTGTACTTTTTTTAAAAGCCTAAGAGGACAGTAGGATAATTCAGCTGACTACATCTGGCAGTTGGCATACCAAAATTGGTCAGTTGGTTAAGGGAACAGAGGTAACGCAGCGAGCCCCTTGATGAGTGTTCTGAAACTGTGAAAGCAGGCGTGCATCATGGGTTTGGGTGGAAACCACAGGAGAACGAGGTGGGCTGAACCTGGTGGCTTCATTTGGTGAGTGACAGGTGGGAATGAGTAGAGCAGAACTAGGTTCTGGGGAACGGTCACATTTCATAATTTACCAGACTCTCTGTAGGCTAATAACTTGTGTGTAATCTCTCTGAAGAGATCTATACACGGAAAGTACTTTTTTTATCCCCAAATTGAAACTGAAAGCACATTTATAACGTGTTGCCTTTAATAAGATGGAGAAGAAATGGCCTTTTAGCTCCGATAGATGTTCTTTTTAGCACCTAGAGGGGCTCGATTGTTGATGAAAATGATGTTTTGTGCTTCCCAGTCTCACTGCCTATTGCCCAGTGCTCTCTTACTATTTGTATGTGTGCAATATTGTCCCTATTCTTAATTAATAAAAGGCATGTTTTATTCTTGCTATACCTGCTATTATTTCTTCCTTCTGTGTGAGTTCCACTTAACTCGTCTGTGTGTTTGTGCTCAGATCTTGGCAGGGGTGATCACTGCACACTGTTCAACCTCCCTGTTCAACTTTACATTGTGGTCCCTTGTTTAGATGAGTAATAGAATGTTTCTATTGCTGTGATCTGTAATGTGTTTGTAACTTTGAGGTTGGGTTCATAGCATGACCAGAAGTGTTTGCATGTGGGTGTCGAGAAGAACAAATAATGGTTTTACCATCCTAAGATGGCCCTCTGTGTAGATTTTGGTTTGGGGTTGTTTACCTGCTCAATACGATGGCTTCCCTTTTCAAACATCCAGCTGTTTCTGTTGCCTGTTTCACAATCGATGTGCCAGACATCTGCTCTCAAAGTAAACCACAGCCACTGCCTGCAGACCGTGGGCCTGCATTTTGAACTCCATTTGTGCTCACTGTAATGCACTAGACTTGGATCAGTGTCAAATGGGTCAGATGTCAGATCTTTTTATATACCTACACCGGATTATTGGAGATTACCAAGACTTCCAGCTTTGCATAGAAACCATACGAGGCCACATGCGTTTCTCTTGAGCGTGGTGGTGTGCGCAGTGTAAGCTGAGGAAAGGAACTGTTGTGAATGCTCAGGGAGAAGGAAGTGCTTGTTGGCAGCTTTCCCAAGAGGGGTATGCCATTTACGGGGTAAAAATGACACCCAAGACGATCCGAGCAACAGTGAAATTACGGATGAATTTTCGTTTGGGTTTTTAGGTCAGATCTGGCAAAGCGAGCCAGCAAACTTAAATCAGCATTTAAAAAATTGGAGTGTTAAGGAACTGTGATGAAGCTTGTTGAGCACTGTTTCCTTAAAGGGAAAGGGTTGTACCTCATAGGACTTGCAATGAGGTAGTGCATTTGTTTAACCCATCTGTGACATTATAGCAGTTTTTGCTGTCAGATTCTATTTATTTTTAAATTCAAGGCTTGTTTTAAGTCCTAATAAGATAATTCATAACATTAGTCTACTTAAGCTTGACATGAATGTAAGGCTAACACTCAAAAATACCAAGTGGTGTCAGTATGCAAGAAATTTTTGGATTTAGCATTTGCATCTTGAGAATTATTCCAACTTTTGTCTATTGGTGCAACAGATGCATACCGCAATATTACAATTCAAGGCTGAAAGCTGATTTAGGAAAGCCCAGGCAGCAGCAGATATAGATACTGTAGGTCTACAGTAAGCAGTTATAGGAACCAGTTCAAAGAAGCAGAGAAAATAAGAATATATTTTAGCTTGACTTTTTTTTTAATGTGGAGTCACCACTTGTAACTATCACCAATAAATATATATATTCTTTTGTATTCTCCCCATTTTAAATTGCTGGTTTTTGATCAAGCTGTTTTGCCTGTGTGGCTCCTGCACCAGCATAGAGGACAAGGTTATGGTTTCTCTCGCCACACTTCGGAGCTGGTGCTCATCGGTACAAGGAGAGCATCTGTCACTGGCGGTACTGCACACTTGCAGATGTCCCGACTATCTCCAGACCACCCAGGGGCCACTTGTGGGTAGGGTAGTCCTGGTCACAGTTAGTGAATGAAATACCCTATGCATGGCCCAGTTCTGTTTGCGCTGTAGGAAGTCTCCATCACTGCATGGCCAATTGTTTCAAAGTTTTATTAGTGTAACTTTCATCGTTAATCAGAATGATATTGAAAATGTATGTTTGCTCCTAATCGTAGTCTGTTTACAGTCAGGGCCACCAGGAAAGGTGTTAAAGCAATAACCAAGACATCTGCATGATCCCTAAATAGTCTTGTGTAATTATAGCCAGTGCGCTCTTTCTGGACTTAAAGTGTCCCTCGGTGATTCCTCGTGATTTCCTGTGTGAAATCAAGAGTTAGGTGGAGTCAGGAGGCGGGAGCATGTCCTGCTCTTATTGATGAGTTTCATTCTTTCTGGGATTCCCACGTCTGTTCACGGCGCCCTGCATGATGTTCTTGCATCAGACTTTCCTGTCAAGTCCTTGGTTTGAAGTGCCTTGGCCACGCCGCGCTTTCGAAGCCTTGAAGGTCTTCTTGAGAGCTGAGGAGTGGGCTCGGGCACTTGCTGACGTTTCTGTTGCCTGGCAGTGCTGTGCGTGCTGCTTCATATTTAAATTGTGAAAAGCAGTCGCTGCTCATATTTTATGGACGGCACGTTGCCGATCCTGTGCTGGCGTAAGAGTTGTAATCTGTTGCCTAAACCATCATTCCTTAGCTGTTCCATGTTTTTATTCTAATGAAGGAAGATGGCTTGCTTAAAAGAGAATTTCATATTCAAGTGAATCTTCTGAATGCTGTTCTATCTTGTTGTGTGCTCTGCATTATTCAAAGTGCCCTGTTTAGTCAAACTTTCATTAAAACTTTAATTCTCTGAATCCAAAATGAATCGATATAATGGGTTATTTTGTTTGTGGAACCTTGATTTACAAATGGGATGCTAAATAAGGTTCCTTTTTATTTTCTATCATTTATTCACTTCCTGACCGTATGCATTTATAGTTTTTAGCTAAGAATGAGAAGAACTCTTGTTCAGAACATTTTAAGCATCAACCACAAACTCTTCAAATTGCTGGTCATGCAGAAGCAGAAAATGACTTCTTGGTATTTCATGTAGTATGTGATTTGAAGCCGTTACGGAAAATGATTTTAATTGTCACTGTGAGGCTCATATCTGCAGAATGTTTTGGCCACACGCAAGGAGGGAAAAAGCCAGTAAGATGCTACTGAGCGATGGGGAGATTGATGCGGTTTCTTGTTCCTTGGCCTTTTGTGTGCTGGTACTGTATTTACCTGCAACCTGATCCGCTGTGTAATTGAATCACATGGACAGCGTGTTCCCGAACCAGGCAGCTCTCTGGATGAAGCATGGCGGCTGGGCGGAGGGCAGCCCCAGTGCGGGCACGGCGAATGGCCTTTGTTGTGAGGTAGATGTGAATGAAGGCCCGGCTCTCCTTTGTGCTGAGGCAGCAGCAGCAGCAGCTCTGGCAGGACAGTTCTCCGTGTAGCAGCTGATCCACGGTGGGGAGCTGTGTGCCCGCCCCAGGACTGCACGCAGAGGATGCACACAGCACCCCAGAGCCCGTGGGCAACTCCCAGCTCTTTAACAAAATGCTGCTTGCAAGGCAAGCAAACCTATGACAACTCATGAATTGTGATTACCCATTAAAAATCATCTTTTTTTTTTCCCCCAGCTCGCTTACGTTCAGACAACTGTATAGTGTGAGTTGTTTGGGAGGAGTTATGTGTCATCTGCTGGAATTCGCTTCCTCTTTGCCATCAGTTGGGTTGGAGTTTTGCATTTCCTCTCTTAATAGTGCTAGGAGTTCGCTCCACGAAAACCCCAGACCGTCAGTGAGGTTGCTGTGTGGGTTTCATGAGGGTGCGCGTTTGTTTGCGTTGGGGAATAAGCTTGTTTGCTTGTCTCTTGTTTTTCCCAGGTGGTTCCCCGGATGCTCTCTCCCCCGGTGGCCCTGATAGGTTTGCAGTGACCGACGAGGCCCGCAGTCATGTCCAGCTCGGGATACCCTGCTGGCCAGGGGGCCTTCAGCACCGAGCAGAGCCGTTACCCCCCTCACTCAGTCCAGTACACTTTCACCACAGCGCGCCATCAGGTAACCCAGATACCGCACGAGCACAGTGTCCAGAGAGCATGAATCAGGAGCACACCTCCTGACTCATAGTTTTCTTCTAAGTACTTATCAGTTGGGTGAACACCTGCAGTCATTGAAAGATTTATCTCACAGGAACTTTCAAGTGCAATCTGCATTTTTCTTCATGAGCCTTGTACGTGTGAGGTTAGCAGTAGAACAGTGCAGAGATGTGCATGGGAACTTTATTCTATATGATCAAGTCTGACAAACAGGGAGAGTGTACAGAAATAAAGGTGCTTGGCATTTTTGTGTTTAAATTTAGACCTGGCAGTTGTTTTGTGCCCGTCTGGTGATTACTCCAGTGAGCCATCTATGGCCATGCTGATTTATATGTATGCAGAAGTGGCGAGTCTCTTGAATGGAATCTTGGAGATGAGATGAAATTTCCTGGCACAGTTCTTGTTTTAAAAGGATTACAGAAAAGCCACTGTCAGGATGATCTTAGAATCAAACCATTTTAAGCAGGCGCACAAGATCCATATGATTGTCATAATTAGGTTAGCTCTGAGCCCACAGAACCTCCAAAATTGCCTATAACCATGTTAAAATCAATTTTTTTAATTGATCTTCATTGTTACAGATTAACTTAGCATTTTCCCTTAATGGATTAAGGTTGGTTAAATCTAGTATCTTAATCGGTTATGCACAATTTTAAAATACCTTTTTTCTTTCATGTTAAGGATGGTCAAAGAAATTTTTAGTGTCACAGAATTTTAAAGTGAACAATGTTTTTTAAATCAGAAGCAAATATAATATAATGTGACCTCTCTAAAACATTTGACATTGGATGACATTCCAGTGTTTCTTTTGAAAATACGCAGACTAAAGTCAACTGGCTCACTGCAGGTAGAGTGGTAGATTGTATTACAGATGGAACAATGTGCTATTATTCTCCCATCTCAGTTCTAAGAATTAGATGCTAAATACATTAGATTGTTCTTGGATCTCCTACTGCCTAGCTTTTTTTCTCTTGATTGGTGTGAATTCTTTCACACGTCTTTATAGTATTTTACATTTAGTCACATTCCTACAGAAACAGAAAGCGAATATCTTGCAATTCTAGCAGTTTATTCTGCTGTTTAGGCGAAGGTGCTTAACCCTTGATTTGTTTAGTGTTTTTTGAGGCTGATGCAGGCAGCATTTCAGATAACGTGATACAAGTTCTAAAAGCTGTTGAATTCCACATGCCTCGAGACCCAAAGGGACCTCTTGATGCATAAGCAGACTATTAAGTGTAGGATATGTGCGACCCATGGGCAAGCAAAAAAACTCAAAACCTTATCAGTTGTTTTAGGACTGTACTGATGCAATTAATTGATAACCTTAACCGACATTCATTTTACCAAAATGTCTACACTTTGGTCTGGGCTGAATATCTATGGGGAAGTCATGAAGATGGCCTTTGTTGTCAGGTCTTACACACTTTCTTTGTTACAACTGCTTGTCTCTACTAAAAGGGATACTACTACAGGACACATTGTGTTTTGGATGAAATGTTAAATTGTGGCCCGGACTACTTGGTTATTGTTTGTAAGCGTAGGGGAGTTCATTCCAGTTTAATTCATACAGTGTCCTTCGAGTACTCCCCCTTGATTTAAGAGGTGTAGTCTTTTCTCTCTTCTTTTGCCTGATACTGTATGTAACGAAGCTGCATTTCAGTGGTGGATAAATTGGGGCCCATCTACATGGGTCGTAGAGTCGTACTTAGCAAATGCAAGCAATAAGTCACAAGCATCGGAGTGGCTGGTGAAGACACTTCTGAGAGAAGGGTTGGGGTTGAGGTCTGGCGCTAGCAGCCTCAGCTTCTGTCCTTGGTTTTCTTCCTTCACGCCGTGTTTGACCCCTTGCCTCCTGACTTTGCCGCATTTGCAGGAGTTTGCAGTTCCCGACTACCGGCCACACCTGCAGGAGGTCAGCTCAGCCTCCCAGCTCCTCCAGCAGCAGCAGCTCCGGAGGCGCCCCTCCCTGCTCTCGGAGTTCCACCCTGGGACAGAACGGTAACCACCCCATACTGCCCCAGTCAAGGCGCCACCGCCCTGGCCTGCCAGGATGCTGTGCTTGCTACAGCAACAAACCAGCCTGTCTACATCCCAGCCCAGCCTTAAACCCATATCCCAGAGATGTCAGAAATCTGGTCAACACTGGCAGCTCAGATTTAGTTTTGTTAAAAAAATGCTGTCGATGTCCTGAGCATACACCTATCTTCTCTCTCTCTCCCTCCTGCCTCTTGTAGCTCATGTAATCTTGTTGTTATAGCCCCACTATGCAGATGTGGATATCATTTAGTAATTAGTTTTAACTTTAAGCTGGGAATACTTGCCATTTGAGACGATTTTCTCAAACGGATCTGAGATGCCTTGTGTGTTGTGTAGGACATGAAGCGTGCAGGAGATGTCCTCTCTGTGCCGCTCGGCAGTCCGGTTGACACTTGGGGAGTCATCTCTCCTGCGTGGGTCACTGCCGTCCGGCTTCCAGCAGGGGGCAGAGTGGGGCGGGTGCTAACCTGTGTCTCCCTCAGGCCGCCCGACAGGAGGCATGGCACTTACGAGCAGCAGTTCCACACCGTGTCCTCCCAGTCTGACCACGAGGCCTTGGAGTCAAAGAGGCCGAGGATCGAGGCGGTTTCCGAGGCCCATTTCCAGCGTGCTGCGGCGGCTGGGGTCCTGTCCCTGACACACACGCTGCCGGATGGCCTGAGGGCTTCGGCGGACGTGAAGAAGGTAAGAGGACCCACAGGCTTTTACTGGTCATCTTTAAGAATGCCATCCTGAGAATGCCGTTTTCTCCTTTCTGTAGTGAGTCACTGTTTAATTTAATGATGCTGCTGATACATCTTGCATTAATGGGTTCCTTCTTATCTGGACATCATAACACAAAATTACAGTTTGATGTCTTGTTTCAGGCCCAGATTCTCCATTTTTATATAAGCATCGGGAAATGAAAAAATGGAAATTACTATTAAAATGCACCTAATTCACCAGCTCTGTGCCATAGTGTCATGAGCTTTATATCATGCAAACACTTTTGTTTCAAAAAGAACTTACTGAATCACCTCCCAGAACCTAGAGCCTAGAAAGTCAGGGTGATGTCCAGGATCATGCATCTCTCTCGTTGTCCGCCTGTGTACCAGGAGACCACATCGTTCAACGTGAAGACCGAGGCCTCTTCCCCGGGACCTGGCACCCAGCACCTGGTGGACGAGCAGGACGCCTCCCCGTCCAAACTGTCCAAGGAAGAGCTGATCCAGAGCATGGACCGCGTGGACAGGGAAATTGCCAAGGTGGAGCAGCAGATCTTCAAACTCAAGAAGAAGCAGGTAAGGGCTCACATTGGGACTCTTATGAGCTGTTGTTCAGGATGTGGCAGTCTGTGGGTCAGCTGTTTTAGCCAGCTTTCTGCTGTTGGAGCGCATTCACATCGCTGACTTAAAGGCTCAATCTAGAGGCAGTTGTTCACCATATGTGGTTTCATAGTTGCATTACTTCTGTTGTAATTGCCATGTAAGAAAAATAGAATTACAACACAGTAGTTCGGTTCTTGATAGACGCTGGTTATAGCTAGCTGAGCTGATGTGTACCACCCCTGCAGCCGGACATGGGCGCGCGGTAGGAATTGTAGTTCAACTGTCGCGCTGCTGGCCGTTGAACTCGTCCCCGAGCAGCACTGCCCGGTGCAGGAGGTCCGTCCCTCTGGCAGCAGTACAAGCCTGCCAGCCCCTGGGGGCCGCAGGGGCCGGTGTGTCACCCAGAGGGCCCTGGCCAGCGAGTCCACCCTCCTGTCGGCTGCCTTTCATGCACCACCTCCAGAATCCCGCTCGCAGTCGGCTGGGAATACAAAGGTCACTTTTATTCATTCCCCCGTCGTCAGTATTTTGTAAATCCTCCTCCGGCATCGATTTTACTAACAAGGCACCTCCTGTAATGTGCTATGAGGTTCACGCACTCCTCAGGGGGGATTTTCGGCTACATTAGTAATACCAGTGTCCGATTTAATCGCTGAAAAATGGTTTTCTGTAAAAAAAAATCATACTTGATATCTCAAGTACCTGAAGTGCTGAATGAACTGTGATACATGGAATAAAAAGTGTCTGTCTTCATTCAACTCCTTTCTGTAGGACGTGTACAGTGCCCTTGTGTTCGTGCAGTGGCTTGTGTAAAGTCTAAAGAAAATATTTTTTTTGCATCTTCAGAGTAGAAAAATAGTATTTCTGATGCACTCTGGGTTAACATTTTCCAATGGCTGTTATTACTAGTTGTTCTCCTTGATGGATTACATTTCCAGCATTGTTACACCTGCGATGTTCCCCACTGATGAGTTTTGATTTCAGAGATAACTAAAATGGAAGTGTTCTGTTAATGTTATTCGGTGAACTTCTTTTGGGTTCAAAACCAGGCATTTCAATTAATGTCTTTAAATGTCTTCAATTAATTCAATAAAAAAAGGTAAGAAACTACAGTAAAAACGTCTCATTTCCAAATCATCTTCCTCTTCAGCTCCCTCTTCAGTTAGATGATGATAACGTTTTGCCATTTTAGTGGAATATTGACTTGCTTTCTGAAAATGGAATCATCAAACTGTTCTTGGCTGTAGAATAAGATTTATTTTCATTTTTTTTGTTCTGTACAGCAGATTGTCTTTCTGCTGTGATCAGCTTGGTTCCGTAAGCTTTGCATGTGAAGTTGTCACCATCTTGGACCTCTAACTAGAGGAGTTGGCTTCTGATTCATTATTCCACTTAATCAAACCGTAATCTGTTAAAGTCTTTCAGGGTTGTATTTTTTCCATTCTGTAATGGAAATATAGGCTTTGATTTGCTTGGTGGAAGTATACCACAGCACATTAAATTGAAAGATCAGGCTGACTCAACATGAGAACCACTGAAGGGGTTACCTCTAAATATGACCAAGGGGGGTTCTTTTCACTGTGTTGCATCAAAGTGTGGGTTTTTCTGCTGCATCTCACATTTCTTTTAGATATATTTTCCTTCGTATGTCCAGTTAATAAAGTGGGTGTATTATGGGTCACGATTCACTGCACCTCTTGGGTCTTACGGCCTTGTGTCTTTTGTGTGAGTGCTTGTAGTCTACTGTACCTACTTCACTTTGAAGTAAGGCATGATATGTGAATGTTAAATTAGCCATCTTTTATCTTTTGCAACGCTCTGTTGTACTGTGCCTTTATAAAGCTCTTTGAGTGGGAGGTGCTTGTCTTTAACAAGAAGGATCATAAACTAGTAGGTTAATATTAGGCTACATAACCTAAAAAAAAAAGTGAATTTGCCAGTGTTAGGCACCTTCAGGCTTTCTTTAATATTCCTAAATTTCTAACCAGTAAGTGCGGTTCTCCAGGGGATCTCGGTGTTGCACAGCGGAGCCCCGGGACGCTGCCACGGATTGCTCAGACGAGGTGTGGGGGTGTGTCTGCAGGGCTGTTAACTGGGACCGTGCTGTGCTGGGTTTCACCTCTGTGTGCCCAGTGCCATTCCCCTCTTCGGCTATCAGCGCCGTATTGTGCAGAAGGGAATGTGTGCCAATACAAAGTCCAAACCACTGCACTAAACACTGTACTCTACTCCTTATTTGTGAGTTTGCTATATGCCATTGCACCTGGAACCTAGATTTTAGTAGCACTAAGTCACCTTGGATAAAGGCATCAGTCGTGTAAATAGTAAAAGTTACAGGTGTTTATATATATATAACTTCTAAATTTACACCCCTAGAAGTCACCTTTGAGTATCATTTAGCATAAGTCTGGTTTACAATTGTATACCAGAGTTAAGTTTTTAATTTTTTTTCTGACTTTGGTGGCTTTCCTTGTTATTCTTGGGTTGGCACATTCCCGTTGAAGCTGCCCCTTTCCTTTAGTTGGGAGAAGGAGACAATTCCTGGCCTTCCTCCGTGCCGAAGGTCGTTGGATCATATAGATAGCTAGGCCCGTGGCCCTTCTGACTGGAGGCGCCTGTGTGTCTGTCTCCTAGCAACAACTGGAGGAGGAAGCAGCAAAGCCAGTAGAGCCAGAGAAGCCGGTCTCTCCACCACCTGTGGAGCAGAAGCACCGCAGCATCGTGCAGATCATCTACGACGAGAACAGGGTAAGAATCTGACACCTTCAGCTCGCCCAGAGAATGATGACAGCACTGTACCTGTCCTGCATTGCAATGACTCTATCTCTGTGGCATTTACAATCTATTACGCTCTTAAAATACATGTTGCACATGCATAAACCTTTTCCTCCCCGAATTTCTCAGTGTGTTTTCCTTTTTGTTTTGATTTAAGACCTCCCAGGGTGGTGTTGATTCTTTTTTTAAAAATCAAGTCGAGGGCTAAACAAATGGATAATGAGAGAAAGCACTGCTCCTCCCGGTTGCCTGGTGTTCTGTACTTGTTATTGTGCTTTTCAGATGAAATCTTGTGCTTTCATGAAAGGTTGCAGGGTTATGTAACGCGCTTGCAGACATTTTAAAACCGCTGCCCCCGTGGAGCTGGGCGTGCGCGTCTCGGTCTGGGCGCCAGGTGAAGTTTCTGCAGCTGTCCTTTTCTTCTGCGAGGACGTGTAGGAGGTTGTGAGGCGAATGTCATGTTCATTAATTGTGGACACAGATGGCTGGCTGTGCTGACAGAGCTGCGGGGTTACTGGAGTTCAGCTTCGCTGTGTCTGCTAGCTGGCAGGAAGTCCTGGCTTGGCCTGTCGCTGAGGCACGGCTTCCTGTTCAGGCAACTCTTAACCCTTGCAGCAGGAAAAGCCTCAGCCGGTCGATTAGGACTGCTTGTTCGCAAGCACCGTCTCTTCATCACTGGGACTCTTCTGTGGCTTTGAGGCCGACTGTGTACATTTTAAATGATTTAATTGATAACAGGAAAATGCAGCCAGGTTGTATACACACAGCACAGTTGCCTTTATTTCAAGTCAACCTCATGACTGTGTATTTTTGTGTCTGGGCAATCCCCTGTGTTTGTTCTCTAATATTGAACCCTGCTGTTTGTTGGTTTTGGCTACCATCATGTAGACACTAAGCAGCGATTACCAACTAGTGGTACTGAAACTTCAAAGGGGTCATCTAGGATTAATTTTAACGCTTATATTAAACCAGAATGCGGAATTTTTTTAGTAGCACAGTTAGATCTAATTTACATGATGACTCTGAATGATATAAATTCTGTGCATGGACGTGGTTGTATCTCTCAATTTTAAAATCCCCTTGTGTCAAACCAGCAGAGATGTACGTTATTTCAGGATGTCTGGATCTTACTTTTTATTTTCTAGTACAGAGAAGAAACCAGCCGGAAATTGCATTTGTAATCAAAAGGTAGTTAATTTTTGACAGTGGCCATCGCTGGTTTCCTATGCTTTGTTAGCCAGGCACAGACGTGAGTTTGAAGAATATGTAAATGGAAGGACTTGGTCGATGTATGCTGATAAGTTGTCCTTTGAGCCTCTGTTAATAAGCTTCTGTCCAGCTCCAGGACAGAGTATTTCATGAACAATTCACATTCGTGCACTGAGAAAATAGCTGCCTCTCACTTAGTCAGCAGAACCCTTTCTGAGTGCCTGGGAAAGACCGTCTTCATTTTCAGAGTTCAGCTGCCCTGGGAGTCAGTTTGGCCTAAAAAAGGGCTGGAAAATTTGTTCCAGAGATCATATTTGAGACAAAACAAACCCAAGTGTTTGCTGAGAAAATATCAGAAGCCATGTAATGCTTAAAGAGCCATTTTCTTTAAGCAGAACGACAAATGCAGCCCTCAGTGTCTGTGTCTGGCAGAATGATAGGAAAACTGAAAGGAGGTGCAAATTAAGACATGGCAAGTAGCACCCTGAGTGGCTGTTTCAAATTGATTTTTAAAGGAAAAGTAAGATCTGGAGTAAAATAAGATGCACCATGTTCATATATTTTGTTTGAATTGTTTCAAAGAATTATGGATTGTTTGCTTTTATTTTTCTGTTCTCTGATGTCACCCCTTAGCAATGAAACTATATGGAATATGTTTGGTAGATGGCACATTATCATAGTCATATTTCTGCTTTAAATCAAATTCACACGTGCCTCCTGTTTGTCGCGCTACAGTTCAGTGAAAATGTTCTAGTCCCATTACAGATGCAGCAGTTTTTATAAGCCGTGAATCAATTTTGAAATCATAATAGGATAAAACATTTTTACACCTGATTTTCATTGATCCATCCCCAGTATTCCAACCATTTTGCCCTGTCTTCAAATTGCAGAAAAAAGCTGAAGAAGCCCATAAGATATTTGAAGGGCTTGGGCCGAAAGTTGAACTGGTAAGTGTTTTGTTATGCCTGTGTCACAACACTCCCTGTTAAAGAAATACTAACTCTAGGTGTGCCTGTCTCCCAACCATGAAACCTGCCCATGGAAGTTAATATGCTGAGTAATGTAAAGTAACTACATCTGATTAACTCATAATCAAGAATATCGTGTTCTACCAGATAAAATACCGTGTCAGCAGGATGTAAACCAGAATTGCTGATTATTTTCTGTCAACCCAAGAATTATTGGCACGCATGATGATAATTTTGAGGAAAAAATAGTATCACTCTTTTTAAACCATTTGTTTTGAAATAATTGTATTATAATAAAAGCTTGTAGTTTTCCCATTATTTGGGCATAAAGTACAGCTCATTATCTGTTCTGTTTATGTTCTATGACTTTTTTGGTTAGCTTTATCACGGGTGTCAATAATCGTTAAGCCCATTGTACATAATAAGGAGAAAATAAAAGATATATGGAGTATTATATCTTATTTTCTTCTCTTTCAGCCCCTCTATAATCAGCCATCAGATACAAAGGTTTATCATGACAACATTAAAACGTAAGTACTTTAGCTTTACATAAAAGTGTAACAGAATCAGGTCCAAATTATGTCACCCCTAGGGTTCAAGCGTTAATCAGTTGTTAAGCAGTTTTATATAAAAGTGAAGGATGTTTGCCTAATGTAAGGATGTGCTTTTATTGCATCAAAGAAGACAAGCTTTCAAGCGTTTATCAGTTTCTATAGACTTCTAAACTGTGCTGTTAGTGAGTGAAGCAGAAGGGTTTGTCACAGAATTGTTTTTCAGTTTCCCCTTCTTGCTGCAGGAAAGTAAATTTCAGATGAACAACAGGAAATAAGCGTGCAAAGCAAATGTCTTTTAAGTGGTATTAAGACTTGATGAAACAGAGTTCAAGTTCTTTTCCAGGCCCACTGTGCCCTTTAGCACCATCTTTCAGCAGTGCCTTTAAATCTTGTCATCTTCAGTCAGGAATGAGACATATGTTTCTATGGAAGGAGATTGTGATTCTTGTGTATATTGTGAATCTCTAGAAGCTAAGGGGTTCAGTAGGCATTGCTGGTCCGTTACAGATGGAGCTCAGGTTATTTAATTGTTCTTGATGCAGAGAGTCGGGTCTCGAAATTTGCAAGGTTCGGTGCAGAGACCATTCCAAATAGCCAAATTCACATATACCCCCCCCTATGATAAGTAAAGTACTAATGCATTGGTTTGAATTTAATTAAAGTGACATTAATTAACTCGAATACACATCGGTGAAATAAACCAAACCAACACTAATCACAACCGTATAGTAATCAGTGAAAATAAACAACTTGAATCCCTCCTCTATATCCGCCTGATGCCTGCACTTTCTCTTTTTGCCTTCCTGGCTATTCACCTGCTCTGTGACTAGTACACCCCCACTGTAGTGAAAAGGGCAGTAAGTTTGACACTTGGTAAGAGGTCCATGAGCACCCAGGATTGCAAAATCAGAATTGGAAGCTTTAATAAGAGAGAGGAAAGTGAAGGGCACACTGTTTGAGCCAGGCTAATCATTGCATGCCATGAGAATTGCACATGTCAAACTAGTTTCTTATCAGAGCACTTCACTGTGAGAATTCACAGAACTAGCAGGAAGAGAAAGGATATAAGAGTTCACCTTTTTCTCGGCACTAGACAGTAAAGTCTTTGAAGTGCCAGCCCTTTTAAGTTTGCTACAGTCATCTCATACCCTAGACAACCAGACCTTATTTTTCCATATTTAAGGAGCTCTGCTTGATTGTCGGAAACCAAGAAAATATTCAAAGTATTTGTGTGGTTGCAGTCACGTGGATTGCAAGAGCTAAGACGTTCCAGTGTGTGAGCCCTGGGATGTGTTTGTAAACATGTCTAATGGGCTTCTTCATGTGGGGTGTATTTATAGCTCTCATTCCTCTTGCAGGGAGAACTACAGCACAACTGTTCATGGTTTCTGGCAGTAAAGAGTGAGACAGCAAAGTGAAGCAATTTGTGACCATTTCCATATCTTACAACACAGAGACATAGCAAATGTGTGGGTTTCCTGACTAGGTCTGAAAATGCTTGAGCAGATTTTAGAGAGATTGAGCGTGTGAGTTAAAGGGAGCTCCGGACCTGATGAAACCCTAGTGCAAATGTTGAGAATTACAGCTGCTTTGGTCTTAGGTTTTATACAGGTGGACGAAGTTATAAAAAAGGGCTATTTTGTCCCTTTTTTTATTCGAACCACTTGTTGGGTCTAGCTGTTTCCACTGTGAAGAGTGGAAACGACAGCCCAGGTGATTGCAGAGTGATGCTGCCGGGCGGGCAGAGTTCACTTTTGTAGTTGAGCGGTTTGAGCTGTGAAGTTCCGGTGATTTCCCACAGTAACTTCCTGGAGTCAGCGAGGTCACTTCCACTGCTGTGAACTGCAGGATGACCTTTCCTTTGCTGTTACTGTAGCCTGGAGAGTGTCGCAGTGACGACATTCTGTCTGCCACTTGTAAGCAGAAAAAAAATAAAAACAAATTAAACATATTGCCCATATTGAGTAGGCCTACTAATTGGATTAAATTTTCACTAAACTGAGTTCAGGTTTTGAGTGCAATAGGAATAATAATATTATCTTGCATTTATGTAGTATGTTTCATCATATTGTAGCCACAGCAGGATAAATTTATTGGTGAAATTTCCTGTGGATATACGGTCTAATATAAAATTACAGCATTGTTTTCATTTGGCCCTTGTTGTTGGGGAAATAAAAAGACAGAAATTTACAAAGTTTTAAATAACACGTTCTGCAAGATCCAAGTATTAGTTAAATGCTTTGTAATTCTGCAAAAGAACATCTTGCTATTTTTGTGTGAACTGAATTTGATCAGAATTGTCCCCTCCCCTCCAGCAAAAAATGAACTGTTAATTTTGAGATTTCTTCTAAATTTAGAAATGTCAATCCTCATCAACCTAAGGTGCTTAGATTTTGAGCTCAGTGAACTCTAAATGATACAGCACAGTGATACAGCACAATTTAAATACTTCCCCCTGCAAGGATACTCTGCCATTTTGAAACAAGAATGCACTTATTGTATTTAATGAAATTTTATAGCTGCAGAACTTAGACTGAACTGACCTTCTGATGCTCTTCACTTTTTTTTAACCATTGTTTGGAACAGGACATTGCCAAAACTGAAGAGCGCTTGAAGTTTTATTCGCTTCGGTTTCAGAATGACTATTTGAGGTTTCGATTTTGATACGTCTGTTTGCTTTCTCAGTCAACCCTAGGTGTGACAATTTAGTATGTGTAACTGTAGAATCCCTTTAACTACAATTACAAGTACTTGCGCACAAATGTGGAGTTTTTTAATGATAAGCAAAGTTGTTTAATAATTGATGGTTTGGGAGATGTTAAAGCCATGATTTGTTTCCCTAGAGGACAGGACAGTTATAGCATGAAGGCTGCCAGTTCATTCATGTTTACCACTTAAAGGAAGATTTTCTTTCTTGTCTTTTGTGATGGCAGCTTTTGATGTAGATCTGTAGGTCTGTAGATATGGCAGGTTATCTGCAGGACTCCTTATCAAAGGATTAGCCTGCTCTTTCGTCTGCCCCAGATTTATCCAATTTAACAGGCAGGATGGGAGGTGTGGTTTTATTTCCTGGTGACCTTTACTTTTGTCTCCATCTTACGATCTGAATGTAGTTTTGGAACACAGGCTCTTCGTATTCTCTTAAAGTTGCATAACCTTCATAGCATAGTGTTACACATTAACCACTAAGGAAGCTGACCTTCTGATCAAACTGTTTGTTACTGCAAATACTGTCAATTCTTTAGATCACTCCTTTCTATGTGACTATTTCACAATTCTTTACAAAAAATGAAATATATCTACAGGCATGCATTATTAATAGGGGAAGAAGGCAACGTTGGTCTCCTCGTGACAAACACCAGGAAAGAGAAAGCAGAGACTGTGTATTGATTTCTATCATATTTGTAGCACCCGAAACTATTTGACATCTTTTAATATTCCTTTTTATGTTTTGTCTCAGCAACCAAGTGATGAGAAAGAAGCTTATTCTGTTTTTTAAGAGGAGGAATCATGCACGCAAGCAGAGGGTAAGTACACAACACATAATGCCTTTGTATTGGAATAAGAACAGAGGATTAGCCAATTACTGTGTGGATGTGTACGTATGTTGTGCGCATTCAATGTCCTTACAATATATAAAGGCACATCTGGGTTTTGGGTTGACAAAGTCAGTGGAGAGAAAATATCTTGTCTTCCTTCTGCAAACACTTTAAAGCATCATCCCAATCTAACAAAAGGTATCCTGGCGGAATTAGACATATGCTACACAAGGGTTCCTGTTTAGGTTTTTGCAAGTGCAGTATGACTTGCACATTAAATAGTTCAAATTGTTCTTAATATTCATATTAATATGGATGAAGTGTGTCGTGGGATTATGCTTTTATTGCTCAGTTTACTCCCCCTGGCAAAGCCTGCTTGCTAAACATCTGGGTGTGTTGTAAAAGCTTTGACTTTCAGCCCCACAAGAAATATGTAAGCACTGAGTCATACCATACTTGTGCTCCCACCTTAGACAAGAGAGCTGTTCTATAAGTAGGGCACAAGTGCTCTTTTTGTTCTCCCGGGGCACTGTAGTACAGTCTTAAGTCACCTTGGAGGTTCCAGCTTAAGTTTCAGGTTTGTCACAGAGTTACAGATGAGCAATTCTGTCTTTTTTTATTTACCTGGCGGCTGCTCTCCAAGGTGAACTCTGTGCTCCAGTTCAGGAACAAATCTGAAAAAAGCTTAGAAAAATAACATGCAAGCGTTCAGGAGGTTCTGCTTGTACCCAGACCGTCCATCTTCTGTTGTCTCCAGAAGAGTGGTATGCTTCTGATAGTTCAAACCCTTTTACGTCCTGGCTTCCAGAGAAGCATGCAATTCGCTGGTGTTTCGGTGGTCCAGCAGGTAAACAGTTTAAAAAAAAAAAAGGAAATGGAGAGTGAGTTTGTGTGAGGCTACACTCATGACTCACCTTTCTACTCTCACTGCATTTCTGTTTTATGGGAATGCACAGCACCCTTTTCGTTTCCATTCTCTCTGCTCCAGCTGAGTCATTCATTTGGTACTGAATGGAACAGTGATATCTCTGCCCAGGCTAAGGTAAAAACAGTGGAGGACACATTTTTTTAAATACTGGGAATACGCTCTTTGTTGCAAACGTGCTACAGCTGACCGACCTTCACTCCTTCAGAGATTTCAGAGATATTGTGACCATTGCCATGCCAGAGCTCAACTGCTCAGCTTGCATGTAATGTAAAATTATTATCTTAATTATATTCTGAACTATAAATTTACAGCACAAAAAGCATTTCTCTCAGGATCTTTAATCTTTTATTTAATCTTTTTCGGCATGCCCTGACAAAGATGATTTTCACAGGTCAATTAAGGTCACACTTAATTTAGTTTCTACACTCCTGATGCAACATGTTTGTTCCTGATTTACAAATGCAAATCCTCACCGTTCTAACCTATCCACAGGGGACATAAGGTAGGGACTCCTCCTGCAGTGGTGGAATAGAATCTAAATTAGGGAATCAAAAAATTTTTCAGATGGGAGAGAGATTCAGGTTGGATACTGGGATAGAAAGCATATAGATCAATCCCAGTGCACCCAGTCTCTGCCGTCACCCAGTCTTCAACTTGGCCTTTGATACCCCGTGTCTCCAGGCAATAGCCAATAATTTTGGTGCGCTTGGTTGGCATCACCTTTGGCTTTCAGTCCGCGCAGTTGTTTTGAGTGGGGCGAGCTTGGTTCAGTGGCTCACAGGAGGATCTGGAGCCAGCGTGGCTGCCTTTGTGGTTATATTTAGAAGCCGAGGGGGGAATGGGCAGTGATGTGCTTCTTGCCGCCACACACAATCTTCTCGGCCTGTAATTAGGAGCAGAAAATCTGCCAGCGCTACGACCAGCTGATGGAGGCATGGGAGAAGAAGGTGGAGCGGATCGAGAACAACCCGCGGAGGAAAGCCAAGGAGAGCCGGACCAGGGAGTACTACGAGAGACAGTTCCCCGAAATCCGCAAGCAGCGGGAGCAGCAGGAGCGGTTTCAGAGGTGAGCCACCAGGGCCGCGTGGCCATCGGCCCCCCACCCCTCCCTGCGAGTCGGGCACGTGGGCGCAGGGCGCAGGGCTGGAGGAAGCGGAGGAGGAGGATCTGTTTTTGTGGGGCTGGGTTATCTAGCAATTCATTTCCAGAGCTATTGCTTCATCAGGAACCTCCTCCCCTATGCAGGTGCTGAATATAAAGTGGGAGAGTACAAAAACCGCACATGTATGGCCTGTTTAGGTGCAAATTTGAGTATGAGCAGGCTGTACAATGTGTGAAGAATTCCTTCCAGTTGTTCAAATATCAAAATTATGATCTTTGTTATCATAATGAGACCTAAGAAGAGGTAAGCAGATATCTGGTCTTGGAAAACTGTTAAGTGAAAAGGCAGCCCAGTTTGTGTCACTTTAGCTCCCAGATAATTCAGGTATCAGTGTCCCACATCCGAATTGGATACGGAAATGTTCCTAGTACTGCAAGCAAGGTTTCTTTGAATTCACAAAGCAATAGGTAACTGGAGCTGGGTTTAGAAAGCAGCACACAACTGATTCAAGATATAACCTCTGGCCATTGAATATTGGCATATAGTCTCTTGGGTTGCAGATATTCTACTGCATCAGAGAATCTATTTTTGTTCACACTCTTTTAAAATCAAGCCCAATGGTATTTGTGACTTTGTGTTGCTGACGCACGTCTTGCAGTAGTCCCTTTTCTCTCACTCTGCTTCGCAAAAAGCAGCCAAATAACAAATGGCAGCTAAAACGTATCTACTGGATTGAAAACTCTGCAGGTTTTCTCAAGCATGGCAGTCTTGTTCAACAAGTGTACTACTAGAATTCAGTAGAAGAAAGGGTTTCGTGCCTTTTAAACTTTTGTTCGAAGCACAGACCTTAGAAGAACTAGAATAAAGTGGAACCTTGAGATCATCCTGTTTTTGAAAGTAGGTGAAAGAGAAAACACTCCAAATTTGGACAGAGAGAGGAAGACTGTAATTGGCTGACCTTATGTTTCCCTTGCTTTGTATAAAATTGCTCAGGAAACTGTGGTTATTAAAACAAGGCATGGGGTTTTCACAGCACAGAGGTGACAGCAGGGCCACAACTGAACAAGGGAGGGTCACGCAATCAGACAGTGCAAATGCAAATTGCAGTTTCAGTGCCAGCGTAGTAGCACCCTGTGAGGCAACAGTGAACTTGTAGTTTTTCTCAGTGCGAAGCGACAACGGTCTGTATTGGTGTTGTGTTAGTAAGTTAACTAGTAGTTGGTGTGCAGTTTCAATTTTTACACTTTTTGTTGAAATTATTTCCTGCCTAGCATGGCATAAAAATGGAGAAACTGGGATGGAGCACAGACTTGTTGTTGTAATGATCAAGTTAACCTGAAAGGACAGAGGCGGTCATATCTTGAATACTGGCAAAAAAAAATTGCCTCTCTTCCCATCACTATCCCCTGATAACCCCTGGAAGACGAGCTGAGGCTGCCTAATTTAGCATTGTCTTTTTAGACGGAGCATCCATTTGCAGAGTGTGCTTTCTGGGCTGTTGCACTACAAATTACTGAGATTAATGTCGTCATTAAGTTTTCCACCGCTTTTGCTTTTGTAGAGTGGGCCAGCGAGGGACGGGCCTTTCAGCCACCATAGCCAGAAGCGAGCATGAGATTTCAGAAATCATCGACGGACTATCCGAACAGGAGGTACGTGCCTGGTGTTTTTGGTCAGCTAGTTGCTTTTCTTTGATTCAGAAGTTTCAAAACACTTACTGTACGTGAACTTGTATATGACCGGTGTGGTGCGCTGCCATTCCTTTTTTGCTAAACTAATAGTGTCTCATGCCAACTTGATTATTCCGTGATACGAAGTAGCCAAGGCAATGAGATAATCTTATCAGCACTGTTAGGAAGAGGCTCATGGCGGAAGGGAGGTGCTGTGTGTGGAGTAAAGGTGAGAGAACTGTTTTTTTTTTCCCCTCTTTGTTGTTGTAGAACAACGAGAAACAGATGCGTCAGCTCTCTGTCATCCCACCCATGATGTATGATTCCGAGCAGAGGAGGGTGAAGTTCATCAACATGAACGGGCTGATGGACGACCCGATGAAGGTGTACAAGGCTCGCCAGTTCATGAACGTCTGGACTGACCACGAGAAGGAGATCTTTAAGGAGAAGTACGTCTTCATTTCTCAAAAAGAACAATGGCTGGTAACATTAGAAGATGTATTTGGAAATACACACTGGTAAGGATGAGGCTCTCCTGCAGAGCTGTAACGGGTGCCTGCGTATTCTCTCAAGACAAGAACATACGTCTTCTTGATCTTTAAAAGGTGTCACAAACATATGACAGGCAGCATGTTTTAGGGAACCAAGTCTCTTTGACATACCCCTGCTGCCACAGGCAACTGATTGGTTCATAAGAACTGATTGGTGCTTTAAAGGAGAAAGGAAATGGAAGATTTTGCTTTATACTGGGTGCCGATTAATAAGAAATGAGAGAAAGAAAAATTATTTATTTTTTATAAACCATACATTCTGCTCTCTCTTGGGGGGTAAAAAAGGGTATTGGTTTATTAATTTCACACTGTTCAGTGCATCCCCATTCAGAATATATACATGTGCACAACTCACAGCAACAAAGGGATTGCATAAAGTTTTTTGAAACGACATCTGCGTCCTCTGTAATATCCTCTCTGACTGCTTTGTTGTTTTTTGGAACCGATGGTCCAAACAGTTACTAACTTAAGGCATAAACATATTCTTTCTGGTGCAAATAAACGTTTTTTCACTGAGAAATGTAGTTCAGAATGCGCGGGGGGGGGGCGGGGGGAGATCTGGTGAACCAGATTCCAGCGCTGTATGAGAAAGCTTTTATTAGCTGGGCCGCAACATTGTTTACAAGCCTGTGGAGGAGCCTGTCAGGAAGTGGAAAGCTGGAATGGCTGTTGATGCTGCATGATCCAACACCTCTCACCCACCTCGCTCAGTCTGCAGTCCTGTCTGCAGCGCGTCGTGCCCGTCTGACTGAATGCGACTTTTCTGTTTTCCTTTTGCAGGTTCGTGCAGCATCCCAAAAACTTTGGGCTCATTGCTTCGTACCTAGAAAGAAAGGTGAGTGAGTTCTGTGAAATGAACTCGGAACAGCTTTCCGGCAGCTTCCATTTTCTTTGCAATAATTCCGAGGAGGTCGGGAGAAATACATCTTCTGTTAAAATGGAGTAAAAAGTTCAAACATGAGAGGCAGGATATTAATTTGGGTGTGATGTTTAGCTTAGCTTTTCTCCAGTGAATGTTCATTACAAACAGAAAAGACCTCTGAGCCATTAAACAAAACCAGGATGACAAGACTAAAAACGGGTTTATATTCCAAGCATAACAGTTCCTGAATTTGCATTGATGATGATTGCATTTTTTTTCAAATGGTTCTTCGCTGTGTGGAAACTTTTCTTAAACTTAAAAGTTGATTTAGAGCATCCAAAAGCTTAAAGATGAATGTTTCATTCTAATCAAGCCATATGGTTCTAATATGTTGGGTTTTTGTGTTCGTTTGCCTGCCTGTCTGATTCCTCCCCTCGGTGTTGCAGTGCGTTGCGGACTGCGTTTTGTATTACTACTTGACGAAGAAGAACGAGAACTACAAGACCCTGGTGAGGCGCAACTACGGGCGGCGCAGAGGGCGCAGTAACCATGTGAGTTTCTGCACGTTTCAGCTACAGCTCGCTGCTGTCGAAGAGAGCGTCCGTGGGGAGTAATCCGAGGCTATTGCAAGCTTTCCCTCTTTCCGATGCTCCGAGATACCGAGCGGTTATTCTCTTCTGGACCTCTGCGGTACTGGTTTGGGGGGGAATGTTATTGATACAGGTAGTTCTCTCCCACTGCTGCTTCTCACCAGGGAGATGTACGCTGTGAGGACGTGAAAAAACTTCAGAATATCAAACCAGTGAATCTCTCTATCCCAATCTTAGAAAGCAAGTGAAACTTAACTGTGCAAAATGTGACTTTTACATACAGCGTTCAGGTAATCTTTGTTACTTATTTTGAAGTGCGCGGGTTCTTGGAGAGTTATAGAATGAAAGTCAGATATGGCACGGGACTTTTTACCTTTAGTGTTGCTGTAAAATATATGCTGAAAATGCAGTATTCTGCATAGTGTATATACATCTGTTCTTGAGGGCCCCCTAGTGTACAAATGGAGCCTTTCTGTGTTATTGAACTCCCAAGCATTGATGTGCATCTTATAACCACACAGGCTAATGAGCAGTGTTGGAATAATGTTTATAATTTAAAAATGTTATTAGAGAGCCATATAGGTTTATGAGGTTTGTTACCTGCTGCTCAGGCTCTTTAATAGTAACCTCATCTACCCCTTATAGTCTGTTTTTTCTGTTTATGTCTCAATGTTTTAAACAGCTGTCTTGCAGTTTAGTATAAATTGAACACATTTTTGCATCTGCTTAAGTGGGTATAAGGGAAATTGTTAGCACGATTCCCTGATATGGTTAAAGGTTTGACTCTGTGCCTGATGTATTTGCCAGAAATGTTTGCAAGTTCTGATGTTTGAAAAATTAAATCCAAAGATGTCTTCCAATAAATCAGCCTCCGGCAAGTCGTAAAGGAAAGGTTTGTCTGTTGCTGCGCTGTGGTGAGTCGTTGGTATGATGGCGGCGGGCCATTCGAGAGCCACAGGCCTCTGAGAGCTAGGTGTCAGCCAAGGCAGGATCCAGACGCTGTGGGAGAGTTTCCAAGAGAATGCAAATGATTGCAGACGTGGATGGGCATGGGTGCCCACAGTCAGCCTCAGCAGTACGTGAACAGAGTGCCGTCTTCACAGCGATGGAAAAACCACTAAGAAAGAGTGGTGCTGGTGACGAGCGTTTTGTGCAAGTGTTCAGGAAATGACTTTGCAAACAGACAAAGGAGGTGGATGAATGGTGGTTTATGTTCTTTGATTGCTATTTATTTGGAAGAGATGTCCATATACCTTGTGCATGGTGTGGTGGAGCATTGCTTTCCTCACTGTGTGCCAAGTTAATGCAATTTGTGATACAACGCTTTGCAGTTGCTGTGCAGTGTTGTGTGTATTGCAGAAAAGGGAAGGGAAATCATTAAACTGGATGAAGGACCTTGGCTTCTGTATTAGTCATGTGAAGATTACAGAAGTACCTTTGCAGAAGTAAACTGAGAATGAGTGTGTACTTCTGGGCACTGTGTCAAAAGCTTGTTGTGCCCTGTGCTGTGCTCTATAAAGACACTCTTTAGGTCAGTTCCCAGGGTATTCAGGATCATCAGAGGACAGGAGACCATATCACAGCTGCCAGGGTCACAGTGTGCATACTCAGTGTTCAGAGGGAGATAAGTGCTTGTTTGTCTGCTGGGAAGCATGGAGTTGAGCATCTCCATATATCCTTGCTTAATAAAGCGTTTATCCTGGTGCTTTACTTAACAGAAGACAAAAGTTGAATTGCAGGGTGTAATGAAGTCTAGGCTTTACTGAATTTCTAAGTTTATGTTGTCAAATGGATTCAGAACTTAAAACTCTGAACAGTGGAGTTGATTTTCTTCAAGTCTGCTGTTGCTCTGTAAGGCACAGAGTACTTGAGGATATTGGGCTGCCTGATCAGACACAGAGATGTCTTATTTCTTCACCACAGTTCAGGTATGAATGTCTTTTCACATCCCACAGTGCAGCTGCGAGTTAATAAAGGAGTTTTTGTCCTTGAATGAGTTCTAGCCATAATTCTGTCATCTACCTCTTATTCTTGTGGGACTGGCTGATTTGGGAAAAAATACATATGTAACCCTACACCCGGAGAGTTGGCAGCTTCAATGGTGTTTCAGCTCTATGGGGAAAGCCTCAGAATGAAGGAGCAGAGCAGTGTGAAGGGCAGTAATGGACCAGAGCTAGGCTTACTTGCATGGTGACCTGCAGCAGTGTGATGGTCCATTGTTGGCAAGGTGCTGGCTTTTCCTTCTGATTAAAATCTGTTGTCTGCTGGGTTGCTGTCTTGCTTTCTAAAGCTGGATAGAGGCACGGTGAATAATTTGGTGTGAGTATTGAATAAGTGTACCCAGAAGAACATGAAAAAGGACTGATAACATTTGGATGTTGGGTGAAGGAAGACTCCCCAGAGGAGCATTACTGGCTGTCACTTGCTTATGTGTTTTACACTGTATTATTTTAATTAATGTATCGTTGATTAACTATAAATACCCTTCATCTTCGAGCTCCTAAAGGCTCAGTGTGTGTCTCTTTGGGACTTCATCTAAACACAACTTCCTTCCCTTGATTGGATGGAGTGTACAGGTACGCAGCCCTTCTCTCTCCTCCGGTCACATCATAAGGGCTGAAACATGAGCAGAGCATGTTGCACCTGAAAAGGACGGCAGCGAAAAGCTAAAACTGCTCTGATAGCTGGACAGGCACCAAGCGTTTCATTAAGGTATTTTTCGCTTGTAGTGACAGCCCTCAGATACCCTCCCTTCACTGTAAGATTTACTTAGTCCCCTCTAGACAGCTTCATTTATGTGATGGATTTTTGCACCTCTGGCAAAGGGGTGAGAAGAGGGATCTGACATGAACTATAACAAAACTAATTCTCTCTATTATGAACAGTCTTCTGTAGATTTGCAGTGCCTTTTATGGTCCTTTCTTCTTCAAAATTCCCCTTAAATGAAAGTAAGTTAAGTGGTTATTGCCAGATTTGACATCAATTAAAAGACTTTTGAAAGTCATCTATATTGTGCTTCTGAGTGTCTTCTCTACAGAAAGTGGCATGTGCCCTGTAGTCTAGATATTGTCCCTTTGAATCCAGCGTGGGATAGTGCGGTAAAGAACTGGCAGTGTGTGCCATGCAATCAGCAGACTACTGCAGGGGTAAGGTAGAGTTTGCCTTGTGCTATTACAGACTTGCCTGTCCTCTGATTGGCACCAAATACTTTATTTTTGCCTGCTGGGGTCACCAACCGAACCACATGACTTGGAAATGCAAATTTCAGAAGACGTGCATCTCGAAGGCCGTACTTATTTCTGAAGTAAGAAATCTGTGGGACTCGAGCCCCACAACGTGCCGGGTTAAGCTGAGGGCTGAAGAAGGCTGTGGGTGTGGTCACTGTTCTTCTTGCCTGCTGCTTCGAGAGCAGGCCAAGCATAGCACAGCATGCAACGAGCTGGTGTAGCAAGAAGGTTTCGCATTCTCGACACTAGAAAACTGAAGAAGAATTCAGAGGAAGATGCATTTATGAATCCAGAGCAAAATTGCTTTTGTCGTATGGTGTTATAATATCCTACCATTGTAATTTTATATTATGAGATAAAAGAGAATGGTTGTGTGTGTGTGTTAAGAAGGAAAGCATGCTGTTATTTAAAACATGGAATCATATTGTAGTTGTGCACTGTTCTTTTTATCTATATTATTACAAGTTTGGACAAATTTGAGAAGGCCATTGCTGGTGTAAGCATGTGGAAGATAATCGGAATAAAATTATCAAATTTGATGGGGTTTCTTCTCAATTAATGAAATAAATATTTTAACAAATTCCAAGAAGATTTCATTTAGAGAAATCCAGTAAGGTGAATATTGTTACTGATGCACAACAGAAGGTTAAAGTAGATTTTCCTTTAGATTTGTTTTTGTTCTACAGTTTAATAAAAAAAACGCATTCTAGACCAGGCCTGGAGCTGCAAGACTAGAATATTTTATTCATCCTCTTAAACTTTATTTGAAAATTACTTTCCATGTGGATGTTGTGATTGTGACTGTTTGCCTTTATGAAAGGAAGGTTCTTTGTGTAGCAATAATGTAACTTCACATACGCCAGGCTGAAAGACTGCTGCTGGTGAGAACCGCATGAGTCAAGTGAGAAGCACTGAAAAACAGGAGAACATAAGAAAGGCTACAAGCAACAGGAGGGCGTTTGGCCCGTCTGTCTGATTGATCCAAAGATCTCACCCGGCTGCTTTTCTGGAAAGGAGCCTGGTTATTGCCTTCAGCAGCATTGCTGGGCCAGAATTGTACACAATATTCTACTAGAGGGCTTTCTAGTGCAATATTCGGTTTTACTGAGTAGTTAAATTAAAATTTTAATTATATATACTAACATTTTAAATGTTTCCTTACATTGTGTAGAAGATGTAAACGGTGTGTCAACATAATCGTCTAAGACTTTTCTGCTTGTATCTTCTTCTAGCTTCGTTTCCTTTTGTTGTATCTGTAGTTTGTTTCAGCAAAATCCTGCCCTTGTCTAAAAGAACCTGTAAACGGTAATCCTAGAGGCTACAAGACTAGACCTACAACAGGCAAGCAGATCCGAAGCCATGAAGTCAAATTCATACTTGTGCGTGATTTATTTCCGTGTTGATCGCGCCACGTGATGCTGATTTCCTCGTTCGCTTCTCTGGTGTAACTGCAACTTAGTGAACCAGCCTGCCTGTGGCAGGAGAGTGCTGGTATCGAAGGAGTTATTTCTCTCCTGGGCTGGTACAGGACTCCTCTTAGTCTGAAGCGTAGAGAAGGGGAAAAATAAATGACAATGCTGAATTAATTTGGGGGAAAAAAAAACAACATCCATCTGTCCTGGATTATCTAGCTGTACAAGGGCCAGTGTAGCACTTTTCAGAAAATGACTTGCGATTTAACATTGCAAGGAAGCTTTCTGAATAGTAGGTGTGCACAGTATGGACAAAAGGGCC